AAAAAAAAAGCAATACCATAAGTTGTGATGTTATAGCAATTATAAATGCATATTTGTAAGACAAATGAAAAAGCAACTGTTCTAGTGTTATTTGATTGGCTTTGGACAAAGGCTCAATGACTGCATTATATTTGGATCCAAAGGTCCTGTATCTCAAACACTTTAGAGGGAAATAAAGGTCATGTGTTACTGTGTAAAAGAGACATCTTTTACATAGTAAAGCCTCTATTGGCAGACTCAAGTGTGAACTCTTGCTCCTAATCTGTACCTCATCCTATCCTTTTCAATTGCCCTGACCACTGACTTTGTTTTTTTATTCTCCCATTATGCTGTTTATGCCCCCTTCATATCTGATGCTCATATTTGACGTCCTAGCTACGTAGCTGAATTTTCTGCTGCAACGCTGCCTCTTTATCCACAGGGTATTTCTGAACTGCCTTGGAAACTCCATTTCTAGACTGCTTCAGTATGTCCTGCTGGGATTCTTTGAGTCTGGAGCCTTAGAGGGAGCCGAGAAGGTTTTACTAGAAGTGGGGTTACCTTGAGGCTAATGAAGCTTAAGTTCAGGGTTCCAGCTGTCATGGGCTCCTGTGAGATGCTGGGAGTTGTAAAGTGTTCTTGGTGGAGAGAGGAAGCAGGTTGCAGTCAGAAAGTGTTTCTGTGTTAGCATTTCTTTCTTTTTTTTTTTAATATATTTTTATTGAAGTATAGTCAATTTACAATGTTGTGTCAGTTTCTAGTGTACAGCATAATGCTTCAGTCATACATGAACATTCGTATGTTCATTTTCATATTCTTTTTCACCATAAGTTACTACAAGATATTGAATATAGTTCTCTAGTTTATACAGTATGAACTTGTTGTTTATCTATTTTATTATATTAGTTAGTATCTGTAAATCTCGAACTCCCAGTTTATCCCTTCCTACCCCTTCCCTGTCTGGTAACCGTAAATTTGTTTTCTAACTTTGTGAGTCTGTTTCTGTTTTTTAAATAAGTGTGTTTGTCTCCTTTTTTTAGGTTCCACATATAAGTGATAATCATATGATATTTTTCTTTCTCTTTCTGGCTTACTTCACTTAGAATGACAGTCTCCAGGTCCATCCATGTTGCTGCAAATGGCATCATTTTTTATGGCTGAATAGTGTTCCATTGTAGAAATATACCACAGCTCCTTTATCCAGTCATCTGTTGATGGACATTTAGGTTGTTTCTATGTCTTGGCTGTTGTAAATAGTGTTGCTGTGAACACTGGGATGCATGTGTCTTTTCAAATTAGAGTTCCCTCTGGATATATGCCTAGGAGTGGAATTGCTGGATCTTATAGTAAGTCTATTTTTAGTCTTTTGAGGAATTTCCATACTGTTTTCCATAATGGCTGCACCAAATTACATTCCCACCAACAGTGTAGGAGGGTTCCCTTCTCTCCACAGCCTCTCCAGCATTTATCATTTGTGGACTTTTGAATGATGACCATTCTGACTGATGTGATGTGATAACATCATTGTAGTTTTGATTTGCATTTTTCTGATAATTAGCGATATTGAGCATTTTTTCATGTGCCTATTGGCCATTTGTATGTCTTCATTGGAGAATTGCTTGTTTAGGTCTTCTGCCTATTTTTAGATTGGTTTGTTTGGTTTTTTTTTCTTACTAAGTTGTATGAACTGTTTATGTATTCTGGAAATTAAACCCTTGTCAGTCTCATCTTTTGCAAGTATTTTCTGCCATTCTGTAGGTTGCCTTTTTCTTTTGCTTATTATGTTAGCATTTCTGTAAGGCTCAAGCATTTTATGATCATTTCTTCTACATTCTAAGTAAATATTTACTTTTGTACCTAATTTTGCATTTATCAATTTGTATTCTTATTCTTAGGACCACCCAAATTGTATATGCTTCAGGTCATACAAAATCTGGATCTACCACTGGCTTTTGCTAAATGAGATACCTGAGTGTTTTGCTAGTACCTATTTCCCTACAATTAGTAATAAATAATTTATATGAGTAAACGTACACTGAGTAGAACCTAGAGAATCCCCAAATCATCCTAAAATCAATGTTTTGGTGACTCTTTTACAAGAGATCTGAAACTTCCTGGCAACCAGCATATTTCAATATAAGTGAATGCTGTAAAACTGGAACTCTGATGCTGACTTTAGTTCAGTTCAGTTGAAGTCTGCAAGCCTTTGTGGAATGCCTATTGTGTGTGATGAAGGTGCTGGGCCAGGTTTTTTCTTCCCCCCAGATAGTTTTAATTCAAGTTAAGAGTCGTTTGAAATTAATTGCCTTAACAGTGAAATATTTTTAGTTCCTGGGAACCTCAATAGCAGTTCTCTTTAAAGAAATAAGAAATGGGAGCCAGTGTGATAAATATGATTAATTGCCAAGGGACAACAATGATAAATTGTTGGTACCAGTCATTTGATGTCCTTTGAAACAAAGAGATCTGTCAGTCTGCCAGTGTTGGGAGTTTCAGTGCAGAAGATATAAAATGAAAAATATCCTTTATCTTTTTTTTGTACATAGTTTCGTAGATGATGGCTGTAGGTAACTTAGGGGTAATTATTTTCCAAACTGAGGAACCCTTTATTGAAAATGAACTACTTACATTCATCATTTCATCATTCTCTTAAAATGTGTGATTAAATCAGTATCAAGTACTCATGTTTGAGAAATATCATAGAATTCCTAAAAGATAATTCAATGTATAATGTCAGATAGTGATAAATGTCTTGAAGAAAAAGTCAGAGAAGGAGAGAGATTGACGATTGGGTGAGTGCTATTGTAGAAAGGCTGTACTGCCTTCCTAGCTATTCCTTGGATGTGCCAAGCATATCCCCATCTCAGGGCCTTTGCACTCACTTGCTATTGCTTCTGCCTGGATGCTTAACTTCAGAGAACTGCATCAGTTATTTTTCTCACTTCACTGCAGTTTCTGACCACTCTGTCAAAAGTAGAACCTTCCACCATTCTGTTTCTCTTCCCTCTTCCTCAGCATCTGACCTTGGGAACTGAAGAGATTCAGAGAAATTCTTTGTTAAATCTTCAGCTGCCTGAACTCCTACTGCTTGCCCTCTGTAATTCAGAAATGGAAGATTTTAAAAATATGTCTTGCTATTTAATCTGGATATCCAAATCAGGAACCAGATAATTTTGTATAGTAAGGGGTAGTTGTTTTCTTTGTAGCACTTTTTACTCTTTGATGTGTTGATCTTTCTGTTTGTCTACCTGTCTCCCTCACTGAAACATTAGTTGCATGGTGGCCTAGACTTTGTTTGCTGCTGTGTCATTATCACCTGGAACAGTACCTGGCATTGATGCTCAATAAGTATGTGTTGAATAAATATGTTAATACATTAGTGAATCCATCTGACCTAAAATATGTAAATTTAAATTTAATTTTTAAAATTTAAGTATTTTTCTTAATTTAAAAATATGTGATTATATGGGAAAGGCTTATTTTACCTTATTAAGTTTTAAGAAGCAGAATCCTGGATTATATACACAGTCATTTCCATTTACACTAAAACATTTCAAATCTTTGCATGTGTTCATGTATTCATTCATTCCCTGAAAGGAAACTTATTGAGCATCTCCTCTGTGTCCGCTCTGTGCTAAGTATTCTAAGTCAGCTACAGTTTCATGAGAAGACAGATCATGAAACAACAGTAAATGAATGCTGTCTTTCCCCTTCACTGCTCTTTAGCTATGTTGATCTTTTTATTTTGCTCACTTGCTAACTTCTTTCCTTTGCACAGGTTATATCATTATGTGCTTAATATCTGTATCCCTCTACATCATAAATTCTATAAGGCTAGGGACCATGACACCATTTAATACCTAGCTTGATGCCTAATATATAGTAGGTACTCAGTGAACATTTGTTGGGTGAATGAATGAATGATTAGAAGAGTTGTTCCTCCATAGTAGGAACACCATATTTAATCTTTAGTGGAAGTTATGGGAAGTAAATTTCAAGCCGGGATCTGAAGAATGAAGAGAAATTAGCAAGTGAAGAAGACCAGGCAGAGTGTTCTGGAGCTTAAGGTCAGACCTGATCCTAAAAGCAATAGAAGAGTTATAAACAAAAGTGGCACTATCGGACTACTTTTCAGTGGTGTTAGGAACAGATTGGATGGGCAATGCTAGAGCAAGAGGTAGTTTGGAAGGTGTTGGTGATAGAAGGTGGTGGCCTCTGTTGGATTCTTGGCCACATGGAAAAAGAGAAGTGGATACATCTGAAAGATTTTTAGACTGGGGATGGTAAGGGAAAGGGAAGAATAAGTACGATCCCAAGCCTTTGCCTTAGACAACTGAGAGGATCCTAGGGCCACTCAGTGAAACTGGGGACTCAGAGGGAGGAACTGTTTGAGGAGAAGAGCCTGAAGTACCCTTGAGACCTCTCTAAATTGAGGCTGAGCATTAAGGACTTGGTTATATAGCTGAATTTTCTAGGTATAGATACTTAGAAAAATGCCTGGAAAGAAATAATCAAAATGTTAATAGTTTGGAACTCTAGTTATGTTTCTAAACTTTTCTTATTAAATTTTAGTTTTCACTATTAGTGTGTTTTATAAAGGAAAAATAATAAACTTTAAAAAATTATATTAGAATCTGTATAGGAAATGCTGTACCAAAAAATGTAAAGGACAAAAAGCTAAGGCCTCCTTAGGTAAAATATGGGCTGTTCTCAGTGAAAATAAATGACCCTGAATAGAAGGCCATTATGGTATGTGTTCACCATTATGGTATGTGTGTGTGTTGTGGGGAGGGTGGGGGTCGTTTGAAAATTTAACCTTATTATTCAGAGAAGGTCTGCTAGAGGCAGAGACTGTTATTCATCCATTTATCCTTAGTCCTCAGCAGAGTCCCTGGGACTTAGCCATGGTTCAAGTGAAAGCTTTCATTTTAGATTTATTGCTAATTCATTTATTTTTATTTACATCACTATTCACTGCAGTTGTTATACAGTGATGTTATTTGTGTCATCTTGGTTTCTAGGTAGATTGGGGTCAACTGGACTACTTAGTTGTTGACATGCCACCAGGAACTGGAGATGTGCAGTTGTCAGTCTCACAGAATATTCCCATTTCAGGTAACTCTTAAATTTAAAGTAATTTGTGCTGTCTTTGATGTTTTGCTATTGCCGTACAGAAAAACAAACTCCATAACAGACAAACATTTCTGTGTCTTAAAAAAATTATCATTTATAATTTTACCTATAGAGATCAGATTCATAAACTGAACATTTCAAAATATTACCGCAATGAACACATTTACAAAAACAGAAAGACACTTTGAAAAGATAATGTAAATTTGCTTTCTGGAAAAGAAGTAGTGCTTAAGTATTATTTAGGTAAAACGTGGCTGTTTGGTTCACAGCTGTCCAGCACTCACAGCATAGTGCCTGATAGGTGGTGGGCACTTAGTAAACACTTACTGAATAAATTCTGGATAAGAGTAATTTTTCCTAATAGGAAAAATTGGCTTTTTGATAAATACAACTATGGCAAATTTTATGTTCTGCTCATTATTTAATGTTAAAGTTGGGAGCAGTAAACATATTAGCTTACATCACATATACAATACTTCGGTATGGTAGTGGGTATCTTTTTTATGATATAGAATTTAAATGTTAGTAGTTAGCATAATTTTATGTTGAATATGTTTCTAAGGATTTTCCTAGATTGCAACGGAGAAATAGTTGTAAGTCTCTCTTATATACATGTAAGAACTTTGGGGGAAATAATGGAATTTTTAAATGCCTTTGCAGTACAGTTATTTATTGGTAATAAATAATTAAGGGAGATCACTGACAATCGTGAAAAGGTTTAGAAAATAGGTGTTTGATAATATATACACATTGCTTGGAAATATCAATATAGTATCACTAATAGTTACGAATATATTTGATGTTTTAAATATGTTCATAACCTTTATGGAGTCTGAGACTTTTTCTTTGTTGAGATGAATTATAAAGCATGAGATGGGATTAAACGGAAATAACATAGGAAAATAATTCATCTTTTTTGTAGTCAGCATACTATATGGTGCACTTTTTCTTTTTTTAAGTAGTTTTGGGACTTCTAGATTTTTAAATCGTAAGAATGGTCACTAAATGTTTATTGAATAAAATGTTATTCTGAGAACTTGAAATGCCTATTGCAGATTTCCAAAATGTTTGCTTATCCTCTCACTTATATGTTGTGGATAATATTGACAAAATTGGGCTAAATTGTCATTTATTCCCTGAGTTGTAAATTGTTACCTTGAAAAAGTTCAGTTTACTTCACACAGATAAACTGACTGTCCCTGAGCAATTTCCCTTGTTTACTCAGATAACAGCCCCTCTGTTGAGACAGGATTTATGATTATATCACCCTGTTTTAATTTGTGCTTATACTGTAAAACCAACGATGTGTAGATTGGGGTTAAGATTTATCTCTCCTTTGAGGATTTTTTTCTTATATACTAAAATTTAACCAGTATTTTCCTTTATTCCTTATCTCTGTTGAAGAATCTACTCTATAATAGGTAATTAATATTAGATGAGAATAAAAAGCAGTATTTTTAAGCATTTTTATTGATTTATAATCATTTTAAAAGTAGTATATTTTAAATTTGGTAAAACATACATAACAGTTCAGTAGCATTATGTACATTCACAGTGTTTTGCAACCGTCACCACCAACCCTCTCCAGAACTTTTTTTATCTTCCCAAACTGAAACTCTACCCATTAAACAATAACTCTCAGTTCCCTCCTCCCCCTAGTCCCTGATAAGTACCATTCTCTTTTCAGAAACAGGGTTTTTTATAATAAGATGAGAGAATGAAGAATGAAGAAAACATATTTTAAAAGATTGCATTAAACAAAAACCTAACATCAATTTTATGATTTAACAAATTTTTTTTTTTTTTAATGAAGAAGCCAGTGCTTACTTCTTTTCTTTTGCTTCTTTCTTTTGTTGTCATTCTTAGAATCTTCCTTTGGGAAAAACTCATCAACTCAAAGTTTGCTCTGTATTCCAAAGTAGGTTGCTGCTGCTGCTTTTCAAGTTTTTAACTTTCATTTCTTGCTCTTTTTTTTTTTAATTGAAGCATAGTTAACATTAAAATTGTAATTCAACAAATATTATCCATATAAAGGTAGATGCTAAGCACTGTAGAGGATCCAAGAATAATTAAATCTCAGGTCTTTCCCCTAGACAGGAGTTTCATACCTTTTTGATTCTTGGACCTTTTTTGAAAATTTGATGTATATATGAACTCCCTCTAGGAAAATGTATTTGTACTTACATAGATACTATTTTTATGTATAATTTCATAAGATTCACAGTCCTCAGGTTAAAAATCACATCCCCAAACCCTCACACACTGGTGATGGGAATATAAATTGGTGCAGCCACTGTGGAAAACAGTGTGGAAGTTTCACAAAAAGCTAAAAACAGAACTACCATATGACCCAGGAATTATACTCCTGGGTATATATTGGGAAAAAAACCCAAAACGCTAATATGAAAAAGATACATGCACCCTAGCGTTCATAGCAGCATTATTTACAATTGCCAAGGTAAGGAAGCAACCTAAGTATCCATTCATCTGTAGATGTGCATATATATATATGTGTGTGTATATATATATATACACACACACATACACACACATACATACATACACACACACACATACACAATGGAATACTATTCAGCTGTAAGAAAAAAGAAATTTTGCCATTTGTAACAACATGGATGGACTTGGAGGGTATTATGCTAAGTGAAATAAGTCAAACAGAGAAAAGACAAATACTATGTGATACCACTTATATGTGGAATCTAAAAAATACAAGAAACTAGTGAGTATATCAAAAAAGAAACAGACTTAGAGACATACAGAACAAATTATTGGTTACCAGTAGTTAGAGGGAAGGGGGGAGGGGCATCTAGGGGTAAGAAATTAAGAGATGCAAACTATTATGTAGAAAGTAAACTACAAGGATATTATATTTTATAAGTATAAATGGAGCATAACCTTTAAAAATTGTGAATCATTATGTTGTACACCTGAAACTAATATTGTACAGTGACTGTACTTCAATTAGGAAAAAAAAGTCCCAGTCCTAGGAGTTAGAGCAAGGAAAAGTGCAGGGAGAGGGAGTGGCAGGTAAGGAAAGAACATGGATAGCTATGATATGGGGTATTAGAAGTGCTGTAGGAGGGATCTAAACCCCTTGGTATGGAGGGATCAAAGGAAGAAGAGATCATGGGTTTGCAGGGAATTGTAAAATGCTTCATGGAGATGAGCCTTAAAGAATAAATAGGATGCAATGTGGTGCAGTCAGGGTAGCACCATACCTAGTTTGCTTTGTCTTTTCTTAGAAGAGAAATCTGAAAATGAAACTTCTAGTGTTCTATAATTCTATTAAGGAAATGTAATGTGTATTTCACTTCCCAAGTCTTATCCTTTAAGAAAATAGGGCCAGGTCTTAAAGATGCTTTTGAAAATACATAAACTTAGTTCTATCTGGATTATGACAGTAAAATTATTTTTTATCAGAATTTTCCAAATCTTCTGTAATGGATGTGCATATTTTTATAATATAAAAATGTAAGTAGAAAGCACTCATTCTTTAGGGCAGTAGATTTCTGTATAAATTAGTACCATGATTATTGGCTGTTATTAATAAAGTACCATTTAATGACAGTCTTCCCTATATTCGTTTTTTATTTAATGGTCGCAGGTGTTATATTATCCCTGTTTTCTTGAATCTTTGAAGGTTAAGTAACTTTCCCAAGGACACACGGTTACAGTGGATTATAGCTGAGGTTCATATCAGTTCTGATTGAGTTTAAAGTCCATGCTGTAAATCTCTATATCAAGCTGCTCTAATACAAAACCCAACAATGTTTGACTCACTGGTTATCTGAGTTTAGTTCTAGACCATTCAACCCATTTAGGTTGAAATTACTCTAATCTAGGTGATCTCTGATAAAAATGACTTGTCTGTGAATATGCCTAAACCTGTCCACCCCTATGTGATGAGGTCCAACCAATGGTCTGTAATACTAGCATAGTATATATATTTGCAAAAATTTAAAGGAACTTACAGTGTTCCTGAAAGAAATGTTAATCCTCTTCCATTATGGAAAAAAAATTTAAGTGTTCACTAATTCCCAAGAGTTCATCACTATGCATTAAAAAAATCCCAGAAGTCAACACTGGACTCTATTCTATTCAGTATATGGCACCAACTAATTTATCAGCTTAACAAACAACAAGCAAAAACTCAGCGAACAGTATCACAAAAAAGAAAGTAAGAAAAATTACAAAACCAGCACTGATAACACTGGCTTTTCCACTTGGCGAGTTCAACAAGACAAGAGTAAGGCTGCAGACTATACTTGGTTATTCCCCACCCTCTATCCTGTCTCCTTTCGCTCTAGCAATTGCCAGAACTCCTAGGTGCTTACAGTATGTAATGATTTAGTAGTCCATGTAAGCTCAAATTTGAATCGTTAGGCACTAATACTGCTGTCAACACATTCACCACTTGTTGCCACATGATGCTTTTAACAAAAATAAGAGAATGACTTTTTTTCTTTAAAGTTTCTTCTTATAATGAGCTTGTCATCTATCCCACGGAAGAAAATGGAACACATACAGAGTTGCTAATTAGCAACTGGAAAGAGGATCTTTTTGCTTCTATAGGTCTATCTCCATGAATTTTCCAAAAGAATGTCTCTTTACAAGTATAAAACACTTAATTTCATTCTCAGCGTGGCCTGGAGAAATGCAAAGTTGATATAAAGGCTGTTTCTAATTCAGAACATTTTACCACCGCCACCCCTTAAAAAAATCTTTTTTTTAAAAAGCGTTCAAGTAGTTTCTAAAAAATACCATACATTTAGATGGAGTTTGTACATTCATTATCTCATTTGATCTTTATAAGTCTGTGGAGTAGGCAGGTGTTCCACAGGTAAGAATGAAGAGTCAGAGAGGTATTATAGCACCTTGCTAAATATCCCTGCAAGTAAATAAAAGAATTTCTTATTATTCTCTTACAATGGAGCAATGCTAGTGATTCTCACCAGTAATTT